CAGATTTGTAAATAATGATTTTTCATAAACTAAATTTGGAAAATCCGAACAAAAATTATAACATATAAATTTATCCATAAATTTTAAATTCAAATTATACAAAAACATGAATCAAAAGTCTTATTTTATCTTTTAAATATGAAAAGCAGGAGCATATAATGACATTGATAAAAATAATGGAAATAGCAGGTACGTTCATTAAAATTTCATTCATGTAATTTCTGATATAGTGTACCAAAAATTGATGTAATTTATCAGATAATCTAACTTTTCGTTCTATTTGACTCACACAATGAACAACCGTCTTTTTCACTGACTCTGATAAAAGCAAAATAATTCACATCTCAAAGCACTCCATTAAAATTCCATAATTCGCAGTGAAATTCCCTCAGTTATGGATTGCATCCATTAAGTGGATTTAAATATTAATTAGTATACACATTTAATTTCAAGTAAAATTCGCGAGAATTTTATATCTGTATGGCATGAGATTTGCTCAGAGAAATACTTTATCTCTGGCATCATGTATTCCTTAAAGAATGTGATCAAATATATCCGCTTAGATTTCAAACAAATGTCATTTGGAGAAGTGTATAAACAAGGATAATTTAGTAGATAGGCAGGTATAAATGTAGAGGACGCTCAATATTTACTGTAAGTGAGTGGGTATTTACCTTATACACTACATATCCAGATGATCAGCATTCGTTCATCAACCAGAAGGCAATATATTTATATAGCGTTCAGTGAAATAAAATTTAGTCATAAAAAATGATTAACATTCTGAGACGTTTACGATAATTAACTTTCATAGCGATTCATGGTAGTTAACTTGCGCTGAAAGGTTTTTGGTCTTTCAAAGTCAGGAAATCCAAAATTTTTGCAATTGTGTCTTTTGAAAATCTTTGAAAACACAAAGGTTTTCGTTCTAAGCTAGGTTTTTTTAGTGAAGTTGTTAATGGACGTGGAAATATATAGCGTTCTGGTTTGTCTCTTCCTCCACATACAAAAGAATCTGTCGATGATATATTCCTTGTATAGAAATACGTGGGAAAGAGGGCCATCTCATTATCCTTTGCAAACCTCAACTTTCACGCCAAAGAAAACAATAGATATAGTGGTCTATGGCTTATATTAGAAGATTAGATTAGTCTTTTGCTTTCTTAGATTATAGATAGTCATCATTAAAGGGTCATATGTGAATTACTTAAACGTTTTCTGCCAAAAAGGCAAAGCTAAGCAGCTAGCATTATTCAGCGAGAAAGGAAATATTCCGCTTCATGATAATGCCTAAGCAGAAGTTCGATTGGTTTGGTTTATTAGATTACGGCAAAGCACTCGAGGGCTATCTGCCTTAAGGGAGGGATGCCTTCGTGAAGGACTTTTTAAGGGAAACCTGCTCGTATACACGGTAACATGGGGAAAAAACACCTGCAGCCAGCCTGTTAGCTTGCATTCGAACCTCGGACCGAACTACCAGTGTTTAGCGACGTTACCACTCGACCGCTGGTGGGCCTGCAGAAGTTCGAAGAATGATTTTGGTAAGTCACACGAGTTTGTTGTTTGAAGTGCTGTGTCATCTTCCGCATTTCTCTTGATCTATTTGCTATTTACTTTTTCCCGTTACGTTGTGAAGCTTTCTAAAAAAGTAAATTTCAAAGAAAGCCAGGAGGTAGGAAACTCCTTCAAAGAATTCCTCTATTCTCGAGAAATAAATTTCTATTTTTGTGACATACATTACGTAGACATGCAGTAAAATGTTTCATTGAATTCACGGAGCTGATTAAGATTAAAAATATTCAATCAGTGATAAGTTACGCAGCTTCAAATTTGGACACAAAAATAAATTTCAAAGCTAAAACAACGAAGACTTTCTCTATCAGCTAATAAAAATAGCTGAGAGAAATTCGAAGCTGGAAAGGGAACTGAACTGAGCTGAAGATGTTTTGTTATTTATCATTACAAAATTTACTAACACGCTTGCTAATACTCTAAAAGGAATAAACAGCTGTGAATTTTACTCTAAATTATTTTTCCAATTATTGCCATTTATTTTATGAATATTGAAGTTAATTCCTCTTTTCGGTTTGTGTTTGTTTGAAGATATTGTTACAAAAGCTATTGAAACAAAATTGCATTTACCGTCGGTTCTGATAGAAAAAGCTGATGTGCATTTTAAAAGTGCGCATTATTACTGTATTGCTTTGTTCCTCAATAGAAAGTCCTTGTGTATTTTAATTGGTAGATAATATTAATAAAATAGGTAATATTAATAAATTATTAACATTTAATAATAATAATAAAACAGGTAATATTAATAAATTATTAATATTACCTGCAATTAAGATATTTTGAATCCTCTCATATAAGTTTATATGCATTGTAATTTTCTTCTCATGCCATAAGTAACTGACATTTTGCAAATATTTGAAACAAATTCGTACCGCTTCTGATTTAAACGCACGTATCAGCAGAATGCTTCTTAAAATGCTGAAATTTGTTGACAAGTCAGAAAGCTTACATGATAGGTAATTTTTTAGACTTTTGGGAACACGTTTTAAAGATACGTAGAGGACAAAAAAAAGGTGCTTGATGATTGGAGGCAATTTTACTGATAATCCGTTTTCGTTAACTTTTACGCATATTTTTTCCAGAGATCCCTCGCCCCTCAACACGTTTTTGACAATGTACGGTGTTTAAATAATATATTTTGAAACAGAAAAAAACAGAAAAATTAGACCTTTTTTGTATTTGATCTTAATAATAGATACAGACATATAATAAGAAATTAGCTAACACAAATATTTTTCACTTCAGAATTTTTGATATGCGTAATAGTTCTGTCATAATTGTAAGCATTTGTTTAAAAGCTTTTGTAAAAACGACAATTTAAATGATAATGAAAAACTAGCATTTGAAAGCTTTCTCTAAAATGCTAAAAGAAATTAATTATTAAAATACCTCTTAATAGCTTATATACTAGACTTCTACATTCTAGTTCTTTTTTTTTTTTAATTTGCTGCAAAAGAATGTTTAAAAATGTCATTTGTGAAAAAGGAAAATAATATCACAAGGGAAATACATTCTTTTAGTGTCTAAATACATGCACATATACTTCTAAAATGAGGTATGTGAAATATGAAAAATGAGATCCTTAAATCTTTTCATGCTAAAGACGCAAACTGCATGAAAGTCATCGAGTTTAAAAACGTTATTATAGATCAACAGCTTACCAGCCCATGTTCCCAGATGAACGTTTAAAATACTTAGTAATTATTATTTCTAGAATTCGTTGTTACCATTTTGCCCTTAGTTCTGAGTGTAAAAATGGGAATAATATTTTTAAATAATTTGGTTTCTATAAAAATAGTATATTATATTTACTCTGTTCTATTGGATTCAGGCCTTAGGGTCTTTTTTTAATCTTTTCGGAGTAGACGATATAAGCTGAAGTAATTACATTAAAAACCAAAAATATTTCAAAAGTACATAGAATCCACAAATCCAACAATTTTTGAACAAACTAATTCTTAATTTTTTTCTAATTATATATAAATGGAACTAAAGTAGTTGTACGATTCTGTAACTGAACTCGGGAAATGAAATTTCAGTAACTTTAGTTAAAGTCATAACATAATGATAAATTGTCTTCCATTATGAAAAACTGGAAAAATTAACCAAATCACAAGCGAAAGCTAAATTAATTTAATTAAATTAATTAATACTAAATATATTCACCAGTTATTTCTTTTAACCCACTTCAATTGCCATTTGCAGTTAATACACCTTTTAAATAAAGTGCCTTCAGATATGAATTCAAATGAATTTAAAACAACCTCTCAAAACCTGGATTTAAATATTAATGTTAGAAAAATATTGCAAACGTTTTAAAATTAAAGTTGGTTTGCGCCGGCATTTTTAGACCTTTTAATTAGGTTTTTTTAAAAACTGTTTTTCGTTAAATTTAATCCGAAATTCCCTTTAAAAGAAATTTCGAGTTTTTATTTAACTAAGAAATGTATTTTCAGCAAAATTTTAAGACAAAATTTTTCAATTGCATTTATTATGTTTGCAGTACGAAGACAAAGGACTTTTTTGAATGATATGTATTTCCACTGTTTCGAATACCAAAACATATTTTTACACTCTTTTTTTTAAATTTATAGACTGAAATGATAAAGCCTTATAAATTAATTGTTATAATTAAATTATGGATGATATATCGATTTGAGTAAGACTGGGTTCGACACCTTTCCCAAAGTATTTTAGTTAACTATATTAATTTTAATAAGGCTCTAGATTTCGTAAAATTTAAAGTTTACCTATATTATTCATTATGTATTACAAGCAATACTTTTTTTTTCATTTGCCTTCACTAAATGAGTTTACCAATTTCAGAAAATCTTTTAAAAACATTTTTTTTTCAAATTGGAAATAAATAGAATTGGACAGGAAAAGCAGAAAACTATAAACTTAGTTTCATTTTTATTTAATATTAAAAAAGTAGGACTTAAATATTTATAATTCAGTATAATTAAATATGTTTATTGCAATCTGAAACTATCCGAATTTCTAATTTTAACATATTTAATTATTCGTATCCAACTATTAAATAAATTCAGTTTAATTGCAAAGTACACTCAAACTTGAAACAGAAATTAATATAATGCATTTTTAAGGTACTTTGTAACTCAAATAATTTCAAATTTGTTTGTTTATATTCCCTAAATCTATCGAAAATAGTCATCCACTTTAATTAATTTAAGTTTTGGGAAAAAAAACGATTTTGGCAGCATTAAAAAATCCTTTAAAACACAATGTATAAATATCTATTACTTCTCTATTTAAATCCGAAACTATTATTTAACGTCAAAATTTTCCCACAAATATTAAAGGAAAAACTTGTTTCTGCAAAAGTTTCCAAAGTTTTAATATGTACTTATCAATTTGGAAAACTCGTAAATTGTTTGAAAAATTGAAATCAGAAGAATGGGACTGACCATGGAGGACCCAGAGGAATAATACCGCTCGCAGCATTGTTGCCGGCAGCGATGTATCCGCATTCGCAAGCAAGAGTCGCTGTCTCGGAACATCCGCTAGCGTCTCGATTTCAAACGGACTGAGGTATCCGCGCGTTATCCCTTTCGCAACTCTCCCGACCCCTAGTGGCGGACACCGGAGAAGTTTCGGAAGAATAAATCGTCAAGCATTTACCTGAAAGATAGTGGAAGGTACTTTGGTGGCGTTGCTACTTTGTGGCCAGCTCTCAGCAGCTGGAACACTGCAACCGATCTCTCACATCTCTTAACCGCTAAGACCAATATCCGAATCTGTAAAAAAAAAATTTTTGTAGGAGGTAAAAGTATGATGATGACGAATAAATAGCGTGGGTAAATAGGTAGCAAATGTATTACAATATAACATATATGAAGCAATTATAAAAATAATTAATAATATGTAAAATGAATAGGGAAAACGTGAGTAAATTTGTAGCTCTCTTGTTTCGGAGGTTTCGTATGATATCCTTCCTCAGCTACAGAAAGGAAAATGACAGAACCTGAGATATAATAACACAGAGAAATCCGCAAATTTTCTGTTTGATGATTGTTCTCAAGTACTCATTATTCAAGTACTGAAAACTATTGTTCATGCGTAACTATTACTCTCTTATACGTGACGTCTCTTATAGATGTATGTTCTTGTCATGTTCATTTCCACAACTGAAAAAGAAGGTTCTATTTTGCGTTTAAAACTAATGATCCTGTATATCTATTCTCATTACACTTATTCCTACTTTTGTCTATTGTTAATTGTTCAACCATCTAATCTTCAGTGTGCTCTTGTTGCCATATAGCGATATAACGCACACGTTGCATAACACGCACATAACACTATAACGCACACGTTGCTATATAAAGCACACGTTGCAGCATGATTTCCCGTTCCAAATTTGGGAAAACTGGAAGTCGAAGAGATACACACTGGAAGTCTTAGAGATAGTCTGAATTTCGGTACTGGCACATCCATTAAAGTCTGGCATAAGTCAGAAATGAGGAATTTCATCTTTTGAAACTTTATCTACTTCTTGTATCCTTGAGATCTTTGGGCATCTGCTCCTCCTCTTTGCTTATTTCACTGCGAACTACAAATTCCTTTGTCTGCGTGGCTGATGCAAAAATCTTAAATCTGATAGAGATCTTGGTGCTTAAACTGCACTTTTCATATAGTTTTAATAAACTGAATGGAGGGGTTATATTTTCATTATGCGAATTTGGTTTCCTAACAAAACAGAAACTGTTGTCAATAATCTTGAGGATACTCTTGTCGCAACCCTTGCGGAGAAGCGATCTGGTGAAAACGAAATATTTAACTACGTCTTGAACATTTAAAGCTACTTTTCACTGAAAAATGTTCAAAAATATCCAAGTGGAGTTAGTATATGATTGGATAATATTGCAGTAAATTTATATTTTACCGGTTGATTGAACAACTCATTTTAAAATGTAATTTTATGCTTTGTATCTGGAATCCCTAAAGGTTGATTTTAATATTACGGCACCTGTCGTAACTGTTTTAGAAGTTAAACTGAAGCCTAAGTACGAATTGAGATTATAAAATTTTTAATAACTTATGTTAATTTTTTTTTTGCAAGCGTTAGGCTATAATCACAAATATACGGATTCTTTTTTTTTCTTCTTTTCCTCATAACCGATAAAAACGTTTTATAAAATTGCTAAATTATCGGGCTCTTTCAGAATCAAAGGGATATTTTTCTGCTACTATTTCATTTCATAGAACTAATGCTGAGTAATATTTAACCTCTCTGTTATCTTCATAAAGGCAGAAACCCAGATAAGATTTTGTTTGGCAACAGGAAAACGTAATAATTTAGTTTTTTCATAAAATCAAAAGGGAATATTGCCAACTACTCATACTTAATAGGAAATATCTTTTATGGTTTACTTACATGATTCTAAGGTTTCGTTTTCTAGTCCGAATTGTGATTTTAATTATGTTTGGTTTGGAATCTTCTATTTCATTGATGCTAAATGATTAATTCATGCATTTTTTCTTAATTTTTTACCTATTACATTCGTTTACCTGAAAAAAGATATTCATTTCATTTGACAATCCCAAAAGTACTTTTGATTAGTTATACATGAAAAGAATTTACTCTCCAATATGAAGTACCATATTTGTTTGTATATTTTTTCCTTGAAAATTTTACCCCTTATTGCAGTTTTGGAGTATGGTTTAAAAACTTTCGATTTGTTCTTATAGTTTCGAGTGACTCTGAATTCCATAAGAGACCATTAATGCAAGAAAGACCAGTTCTCGGAATTTATCAGATTACTATTCTTTGCACATGCATTTGAAAGCCGTTAATTTTAATCTTAAAATTCTAGCCTTTTATGAATGTAAAATAATCTACAAAGAATCCCGTTCTTCAAGGATATTTAAAAACTGAATGAAATATGCACAGACTGTAAATGTACCACCACTAGAGATAAAGTCGTTGGGGATGTTAAAAAATATGGTGGATTGCATTTTTATATTTCACGTGAGCGATTTTTTAGACCTCTGGAAAAAACAACAATAGTTGCAGTGGGACATAGTTCATTCTATTCTCTTTCTCTCTATGGGCTATGTTACTACAGAATGCTATACATGCATGAACGTAGACTCCATAATTTTCTTCTCACATATATTTTTCCAAAATCTTTTGTTGAAGTCATAATCTCTCTTCTTCATTATATAAATTAGTAGAATCATTAGGTTTCTCGACGCAGGAGACATGCAAAAATGTGCAATAATTTCTTCGACGGCAATCAGGGACTGGACCTTCCTACTTCTAGCTGGATGTGCTTTCCAGTTACACCACAAAGGCCTTAACCTTACCTTGACCACTTAAAGTGTGGCTAGGGAGGAAAAGACGCAGTCGTCACATCCTGACTTTGAAGAATTATTGATCACCGACCTTTAGTTCGTGCGACACTTGTGAAATCTTTTTTAAAATGTTTGAAAACGAGAAAAATGAAGAATCAGCGATGTTCTCGGCCGGGATTGAATTCCGGACCTGCGGGTGCTAGCCGGAATTGGTTTCCAGGTACACAAGCTGGGAGTAAATATTTTACAAATCTCAAAAAGGCTGCAAAATATTCCAAATAAAAAAAAAAATAATATTCAAAGCATAATTAAGTGTCACATTAATACGCATATCCTTTTTAATTCCCATATCCTTTTTAATCGTATAATTGATCCGTTCTCTCAATGACTACGCACTAATTTTCTTTTCTCGATTTTCAGAGGCACAATCAGAAAGAAATAAACAGCTGAACCACGCGAGAAAATATTTGCGTTTTCTCTGTAACGCTTTAGACAACAGATTTTTTTTTGTCTGCGTGCGAATAAAAGCGGTAAAATGAAAATTCAGAACTTTTCCTTTTACCTTTCAAATGGGTGTTAAAAAAAGCGTACAAGTCGACTATAAATATCCTGTTATAAGAAATTGTTGCATTTCATCGTGTATGTTCCCGAGGTGAAATGGTGGCACGTGCGTTTAGAAGGTGGAAAGCATGGGGTTCGAATCCCTGAGATGGCGCAGCTGATTTTTCAAGTGCCTGTTTAAAAAAAATCATATGTTTCTAAAGTGGCGTGCGATATAAAGCTTAGTGCACTCAATGTAGTATAAGCAGTTGCTCATATAGTTACCAGTTAGAATATTCTTTGAGAGAATAGCTGATTTTTTTCCGCTACATACTCCGAAAAAATTAATGTTTAAACATCCTTATTTATTTATATTCTTAATAAAATCAGTCATCTGCGGACGCAAGGATAGTGCTTTGCTTAGAGCAGGGATGTCAAACTCATAGGTACACTTGGGCCAAACAAACAAGGTTTAACTTTAGGTGGGCGTCAAAAAATATCAATATTCATAGAAACGTAGATTTATTTCGAATAATACAATAATAAACATATATATATGTTTATATAGAAAAGAACAAGAAAAATTTAATGTTTACGTCCTGATACTTGACATCTCTTCTCTGCATTTATCTTTCCTATTTCGGGAGAAATTTTGTTTGCAGTGATAACTTTCAACGCTGACTCAAGGTGAGCATCATTAATACGGTTTCTAATGACTTATTACCTTTCATGACTGAAAATAACTGCTCGCACCGATAAGTGCTACCAAACATGGAAATAATTTCATATGCGAATTTTCGAGTATTTTCAAACCTGGCTGGTAAATATTTGTAAAAAATTCAGGCACGCCCACTTCAATGAATTTGCTTTCAAATTGAGTTGCATTGAATCTCGATCACTTCCATTTGCATATGGCTAGGTACTGAGTCAATACTTATTGAGAAATCTAAGAAAACAAAAAAAAAAGTCTTCGAAGGAACTAAATCATTAAACCTCGTTTCAAATTCAGTTGTTAAATTTGCAGTTTTTTCTGTAAATTTTTGATACGAACAAGTATCATCTAAACTTGATTTGTTCATGCTGCACGTCGGGAAGTGCGTCAAATCTTCATTTTTAAGTTGGTTTTCCCAAAGAACTAGTTGACATTTGAATGCTTTAATTATGTCAAACATGTTCGTAATGATATGATCTTTTCCTATCGTACAAAACTATGATTGGAAAACTGAGACCATGAGTTCGGCCACATTCGGCTATCGGGGGATGCGTACAAGTTCTGAGTGCACGTGTTCCCCAAAAGCCGAAGGTACCTGAACGCAAGCTACTCACACGCATTTGTAATTTAAGTAGTGTATGTGTCAGCTCGCTGTGAGTAATCTAACAACACTGAATAAATTATCGTTAATTACTTAGCAGTAAACATTTCATTTTTTTCTTCTTCGATATGTTATTTTATTATTATATATTATTATTTGCCGATATATTGGCCGGGCCGCAAAAATATTTGTTGTAGGCCGCATGCGGCCCGCGGGCCGCGAGTTTGACATCCTTGGCTTAGAGCATGACTTACTGACTGTATTTGGTGTTAGGAAGCACCAAATCTTAATTTTAAATTAAGTAAGAAGTGCTCTGAGTTATTTCTACGATGACTTATGATATGTGGTGCATTTAACACAGTTAAAGCGTTTAAAGTTATAAGTTAGAATAACTACGAAATATTTATTTAACAAGTCACAGAGTTTGCTTAACTCAGATAGAGCACAAATAGAATAAAAATCAAAGTTAACAGTCTTTAGCAACATTTAAATCGAAGTGCTGGAAAACAATTTACAAGAGATTCATTTATAAGTTTTAACTAGCTTCAGACTTACCCATTAAGCAATATTATCAGGAGTATATTCCATAA